AAAATGGTGCGAAATTGAAGACTTAGACATAGAAGGTTTGTTAACAGTCAAAGAAAGTTTTGACAGAAGGTTCTCAAACCTTAAAGAAGGCAAAGCATACAAACTTGTTATACCTTATGAACCAAAGAAAGCAGACGACTATGAATATTATGAGTCTAAGATAGTTGAAGTTCAAGGTAAATTGGGTAAAAAGATTTTAGAGTCTAAGCCGGTGTTTGCTCCTAAAGAGGAAGAGAACATTGACATTGACCCAGAAATGTTCTAAAAATAAAATTTTATTTTTACATGTCAAATTTCTTTTTCTCTGGCTCTGGTTCTTTCTTCTCTTCTTCTACTTTCTTTTCTTTCTTTTCTCTCTTCTTCTTTTCTGGTGGTGAGACGTCAAATTTCTCAGAACCATATTTTTGTAAAAGTTCTTTGTCCTTTAATAGCTCTTCTATTCTGTTTTCTATTTCATCTTCAAGAACAGCGCATGTGTCTTCTTTGCATTCTAAGAAGTTTTGTTGGACTTCATCTCTCCAAGAGGCGTCATCTCTGTCAACAAGTCTGTCATTGACAAATTTTAAGACTGCTCTGCTTAATGTTTTATGGTTCTTGTCATATTCCCAGAAACAGAACTTTAGAACAAATTCACCTTTCTTGTTTACACTATGTAAGATTTTATGGTCGACAGATGTTTTGCTGTCGAAAAGCTTGTCTCGAATATAGATAGCGAAATCGCTAGACATTTTCTAAAAGATAAAATTTTAATTTTTCTAAAAATATGTTAGAAAAAAAGTTTGCTGACATTGACAAAAAATTTGAGAATGTTTTAAATAAGAACAAGAGGAAGTTGGAAAATGCTCAGATAAAACCTATACATGACAAGTTCTTATTTGCTCAGAATGGTATAACAGGTCTAATTGCACCGCCTGGGTCTGGTAAGACTTTCACTTATCTTAAAATGGCTGCACAACAACAAGAACTAGATGAGAAGAACCCATTCTATGAGTTAGTTGTCATTTGTAGTACTTCGGGTCAATTTGACCAAACAGTCAATTCGTTCAAAGATATTATAAAGAAGTCTAAGTTAGTATGTATAAAAGACTCTGAGTTGTTAGATTGGATAAAGAAGTACCAAAGAAGAGTTTTGAAGTACAATGCTATAAATGAGTATATAAATTCGAAGTTTAAAGACCCAAATGAGGAAATGCAGAGAATATTAGAGAAGAAACACTTCAGAAACAAACAGAAAGAGATAGAATACATTTCGAAGAAATTGCAATCTTACGATTGGAAGACTTACCCTCATAGATGTCTTCTTATCTTAGATGACTTTGCTTCTCATCCTTTGTTAAAGAATAGAGAACAAGACATGTGTCGAATTCTTAAGAAGCTCAGACACTTTAACATTTCAGTTGTCATTTGTGTACAGACAGCAAAGAGTTTAAGTAAGGATGTAAAGAGAATACTTACTGACATTGTACTTTTCCCCGGATTGTCCGAAGACGATTTCATGGAACTTATGAAAGAGTCCATGGCAGGTAAGTTTGACAGACATGAACTATGGGAGAAGTACAAAGTCATACAAGACCCTCATACTTCTTTCAGAATTCATATCTACGCAAACAAAGTTCAAATTGTAAAAAGTCAAGCTTGAAAAATAAATGGTTCATTTACTCTGCTTGTTTGAAGTTGTCAAAATACTCTGTTATTTTTTCCTTTAACAATGGCAAATCTTCTTTGAAGGTAAGAATTGTACAACCTTTAATATCATAGTGTGTTTGAGGTAACGTATCTTGAACTATTTGTTTCACATCTTCATTTGGGGTCATTGAAATCGGTAAGTTTTCGCGATAGAACCAATTTCTGTCAGATTTGTAAATCTTAGCAAGGTCGTAAAAGCTTTTGTTGTTTCTTCTGACTAAATGCAACATAACCATATCTCTGTCTTCTTCATTTTCCATCTCTTCAGTATAAATCATATACTTATAGTTCTTTTCCTTTCCTTTTGGTACCGAACGTGGTATTCTTTTCTGAATGTTTTTGTCTTTTGCTTCAAGCTTGTTCTCTAGCTCTTCACGTTCTTGTCTATGAATTTCATCTAACATCATGAAAATATAACAAGCATAACGAGGTGAAGCCCACATTGCAACAGCATTTACAAGAAGTCTATGTACATACCAGCCTCTCAAACCAGGAGCCAAATTCTTGCGATTTTCGTACGGAATCTCTACCCGCGGTTTTCCGCGGGTAGCAAACATATGAGGAAATTCTTCTAAAAGTTCTTTTGTCTGTTGGTTTTCAAACCAATGATGTGCTTGCTTTGTAGAACGAAGAGCATTCAAAATACTTTGCATTTGGTACATATCGTCTTTGACCGAACGAATGAGACGTAACTGTTTGTTATACTGTATGTACTCGTATTCTTCATTTATGGCTTCATGAACGATAGCAGTTGTTGTGTTCTCTGTTGTTGTCATATCTGTCTTTATATTCCGGATAAAAAAATATTTTATAAAAAAACTAGCGTTATTTTTTTATTTTGTATAAAAGATATGATTTCAGGGATTTTTTTTACGAAGTGCAAAAGTTCTCTTCGTAAAAAAATAACAGTTATATAATGAAATTTGGTCATTTTTTTCATGTCAGAAGACTCGAAGGTGCAACACTTCCAAAATACCGACGAACTCAGAAGAGCAGCATGGCAGTATGTTCTTGACAACTTCTTTGAGTTCTCCAGGTACAGCTTGGAAAATGCTGAAGAACTCCGACACAGAGAATTTGGAGAAATTGCACTCCAATACTACCTTGACAAACAAAGGGTAAAATAAGACTAAAAACTTAACGTTTAAAAAGTGACATTTTTAATGAGCTCCGAGTCACCGAGAAAACTTGGTCAGATGTTAGCAGCTTACTTCCCTGAGGAGGATGGAAGCGTTACATACGTAAGGTTCAAAAACAACGAACCTGGAATTGCGTACCAAATTCGCAATTACATGACCATGGAAGAGTACGAAAGGTTCCTACAAGAGAAACCAGCTCTAAACAACTCAGAAAAGAAAGAATAAAAAGTTTAACTCGTAATTGTTTATTTTTTTACTTGTATGGGCAAGCTGCAAGAATGAAGTCGATTATCTCAGTCTTTGTCTTGACGAGCTGGACGGCTCTTGCGAGTACGTCTGTTTTGCGGTCTCCAGCTGGTGTCTGACCTTCGTAATTGCGCATGTTCTTGAGAGCTCCAACTGTAAATGGTTGTAGGATGAAGAGTCTCTCAGACTGCTTGAGGTAGTCGTCTCTGTCTTTGACCGAATCTGTGGTACGAGTCGAATCGGTCGATTGGAGGGAAGAGACTGAAAGCCTGTCGTCTTCCATAGGGGCTGTGGCATAATCTTTGCGTAAGCGGTTCAGACCTTCTTCGAACTCTTGGTCTCTCTTCGATTTGGATTGAGATTGGAATTGCTGGGGTGGAGCTTGCTGGAACAACCAAGGGTTGGGGAAGTAAGGCATAGGCTGAGGAGGAGGGTAGTTCGGGAAGCCTTGTGGTGGGTAGTAACCTTGAGGTGGAAATTGGTAGTAATTTGGTGGAGGTACTTGCTGGAACTGAGGTGCAGGGGCTGGTGCTTTAGGTTCTGCAGCTTTCGGTACTTCTGGCTTTGGAAGGCATTCAGGAAGAGGAACGTCAGTCATCCGTTTGTGTCCTGTCGGAAGGAAAAATTTTTCCTGTCGGAAGGAAGAACTTTTTCTGTCGGAAGGAAAAACTTTTTCTGAAGTTCGACCAAAAAGTTCTCAATTTTCGAAAATTTGAATGGTTTACGGACGGACAACTGGAAGAGTTCTTCCTGTCGTCGGGAAAAATTTTTCCCTTTGTCCGGAAAATATTTTCCTGTCGGATGGAAGGACTCGGAATGCCAGAAGGATTTGACGAGGCAATTTACCTCATTGAACTTAACGACTGCGTAAAAGACTACTTGCGCAAGGTAATGAAGCCCAAGGTCAAGTTCACCAGTATTTCTGGAAGGTCTACACTTCAGCTCGAGACTTCGACTGGAATTCCAATTCAAATACCAGACGGGACAGCCTACGATGGCATAAAGGACGCCAAAAGAGAAGCTCTTGTTAAGTTCCTAAACAAACGTCCTTGGATAAAAATACCAAACAAGGAGAACCCCCTACCCCATATGAAATTGGCAATTCAGTCTCTCCTTCACTTCTCGGGTCAGCCGTTCTACATAACCTGTGAAGGCGACATTCAGCCAGTTCTTCAGCCAGTTCAATAAACATCTCATTTTAACTTCACTTTTTTTATGTTTTTACGCATGTGAAGAAGAAGCCTTCTGGTAAGTTTCTTATAGCCATATACATGGCACGCTTTGAGTAAAAACATTTTTTTTCATTTTTTGAATGAAGCAAGTTAAATTCGTCCCACACCAAACTCAATGGACCGATGAAGAGTTTCAAGCTATGGTTGAAGGTGTTGAGAACGACATAGACGGCGAACTTGAAGGAGCTCAAATCACTATTGCAACCAAAATTGCAGAAGTCAAGGAACAGATAGCTCCACTTAAAGCTACCAAAGCTACTCTTGACCTCATGGATAGTTACCGTTTAGATGTCAAGAGTGGAATAAGACAATTAAAATTAAAACTTCTAAACTACGAAGCTATACTCCAAAAGTTAGCAGAAATGAGAAGACTTTACCAGAGCTACTTACATGTAAGGGACTTACCTTCAAGCAGTCCGACCAAAGATGAATTTGTTGACATTGTCCCAATTTTGTCCGAAAGTCAGCTCAGATGTTTCGAACTGCTCCCAACATATCCAGAATATGAACGTTTGCCTGAACTCTTCCGCAATCTCAAAAAACGTTTTTTGGTTCTCATGTTCGAAACTTTTATCGGAAGAGACAACAAACGTTCAGAAGAAGAACAAGATATTATTTTAAACTTGTTGTATGACTTAACCGTCATAACAAGCTTTTTGAAGTAAAACCGTCATTCTCAAACCACTTCATTTTTTCGATGTCCGAACAAGCACCGAAGCCAAACTCAATGGCAGATGTCCTTTCAAGGTTGCCAGACAAGCGCCCAGTTCAAATTCAAATTGCCCAATTGAACGCTCATCTGTCAAACACCATTAAGACTCTCCAAAGTAGTCTTATGGAAGAGATAACCAATCTCAAAGTCGAAGTCCTCACGAACCAAGCTTCCAATAAGAAAGTCCTGAACGATTTCGCGGAAACCTTGCGCCAATACAACATAGAGAACCAAAACCTTGCCAGACTCATCTACCGTTTCTTCGAAGAGATAGACACCATCTGGAAGGTACTCTGAAAGGACAGAACATGCAACACCGTACTTCGTGAGTACCAAATTGCCGAAGGTATTATCAAAGAAGAGGAAGAAGAGGAAGAAGAGGAAGAAGAGAAACACGAAGAAAAGGAAGTTTGGGCAACCCTTGTTGTCGATGACGCTTACGAAATTTCCCAACCCTACCCATACAAAATCCGCAACAAGGGGACAGGCAAGGTTCTTACCCCAGTCCTCAACAACTTGGGACACTTGAACCTTAACCTTCGGAATTACGGTTCAATTTCCATGGGAAGGCTTGTCGGTATGCAATGGGTTCCAAATCCAGACAAGAAGACGAGGGTCAGACACATTGACGGTGACAAGCTCAACAACCGTAAGGAGAACCTCGAGTGGTTCTAAGAGTAAAAAAATTTTATTTTAGGGGGAAACCCCGAGTAAATTTAGGTGTTATTTAGATAAGTAGGTTAAATTAAGGTAATTTGTAAAATTAGTTCCCGACCTTTGAATTGGGCTCTTTCGTTATCCCAGTTGCGTAGGAGGTCGTCCCAGAGGAGTTGGTAGAATTGCCAATCCAAGGACGATTTGTCCTCCCAGGCATTGAGGATGTACTGCTCGTAGAGTTTCATGACCTCTGCCTTGCACCAGACACCCTCTCCCTTGGAACATAAGGCTTCTTCGAAGTGCTCGAATGCGATTGGCTGCTTGACCATCCGAAATGACACTTTTTGTCCGTTTGGTCAATGTTCGTGTCTCGTGCCATAGTCGACGAAAATACAGACAAACAGGTTATATATGAGTTTGAGACCAAGAATGGTGTAACTCGACCTGTCCGATTCAAAGACTCCGAGGGCGACCATGAAATTAAACGGAAATTAGCTAGGAAGGAATATAAAATGGACTGGTTGCCACCACCTCCACCACCTTTACCTGTTCCTCAAGTAAATAAGCCTTTCCCGTTCCCAAGAATTCCCACATTTAAATTCAAATTCGAATAAAAATTTTTTATTTCATGCAATGTTTAACTATTTCACCATCTTCTTTAACACCCCAGTACTTACGCTTGGAGAGGACATGAACTTCTGAAAATACCTATCTAGCTTAAAAACCCATCTTTTCACCGACCATTCCCATTTCAATGAGTTTGTTGTATCCTTCTTCGTTCGTCATGAGTGCGTCAATGTTCTCATAGTAAACCTTCACTTTGGATTTGACTTCGGAGAAGAATTTGTTGTAGTTGTCAAGGACTGCCTTTGCGAACTGAGGGTAAGACAATGTTCGACAATAGGTTTTAATGTGGTTACTAAGCCACTTTGACCTTGAGTGAATTCGTACTTCAAAACAAAAGGAGAAAACCTTTCAACAAAGTTGTCGACCTTCTCATAATGTTTACTCTTCATCTCTTGAGTTTCTTAATGAATATCCCATGTCGAATTCATAAGCAATTTGAGTGTCATTGCAAGTTTGGGGTTTGAAGCTTTCCTAATATCATACAGTTGTTGTATGACTTTTCCAACTGTATAGTTCCTTCCCGGGAACTCACCATCTTCGTTTGGAATTCCAGTCGGAATATATTGGAAAAACCTCATGTATGCAGCGTTAAGGTCGACATAGTATATTTTTTCATCTGAGTCGAACTTGTCGCAACCAATTGGTCCAGTTTGTGGAAATTCAAGTGAGTCTCTTATCTTCTGAGAAACTTCTCCTGTTATCTCATAAACATCGTCGAAGCAACCTGTTTCATATAAAACCTTCTGACCTAACTCAGATGCTCTCCAATACAATTGACGTCAATTGGATGTCTCAATGGAAGTTTGTTTATAGCATCTTGAAGTTCTTGCAACCTCATTGGAAGTTCTTCTGGTTCAGGTTGGTATCCGAACAATCCAACTCCTTGTGGAATTGTGTAATTCTTTTGTACTAGAACTTTGTCTGGAACAACTTTTGGTCTTGCTAACAGTGAAAAGTTTGTTTCGTCTTTTGTACAAAAGTTTCTGTCAGCTTGTCATCTGGAATTGGTTCCAACAAACCTTTCTCGAAAAGAATGTTTACAGCTCTGACAATGTTGCACTTGCCTTTTTCCGAACAATGGGTTTGTAAGACTTTCATTCAACATGAAGTGGTTGTGGACAATTACAATCTTCAACCATGGTAAGTCTTTGTCAACAACATAGTCGTCATGTGAAGAACCTTTAGTTGTAGGTATGTTGACTCGGATATTGACATTTGCCAACGGTGCAATTTTTGCCAATTGACCTCTGAGAATGTACCTTGTCTTCACACATGACTCAAGATACTTCATTTTCTCATCTGTAACAAGACCAGAGTTCCTGAGACATGTAAGAATACAAGGTTCATTGACAATTGTTTCAATTGAATTGTAAATTCCATACCTTGTCAAGTCAATGTCAGACTTATTTCTGAAGGGGAAGTATCCAGCATGTTGTCTGACTGCTTGAGGTTAGGTTGGTACCATTCGAACTTGACACTTGCAATTCCTTCAATTGCATTCAAAATGTCTGAGTCGGAGTCAACCATTTGTTCTCTCTTTGTAGTCTTGAAAGCGTCAAGAAGCATTGCAGCTGTTGTGACATTGCCATGTGCATAGTAAATGTGACCATCCAAATCTGTTATGGTCAATCTGAGATTGTGTCCTTTCTTATTTCCGTCTTGTATGGCAGCAAGTACACCCATGAAGCCTTCTTTGTTCTTTCCTTCGTCAAAGTTTACTGTAAAGGTTCGACCAGATGTAATTTGACTCTAACTTCACGGTACTTTTCATATGCATATCTTGTTCTTTCCATGGAGCATGTGTGTCTTCACCTTTCCTTTTTTCCTTCTCAAAGGATGCAATTGTTCGTCATGTTTCCAGTAGAATCTGGCAAAGCCGTCGTGTCCTTCAACTTGAGGTTCACTAACATCGAAAGGCATGTCCATAAGACGTTCTTCTTCTAACCTCTCTAGTCTGTTTGGATAATTTGCACGTGCTGTTTCCAAATCTAATTCGTAGCGAAGACCAGACAATTTGTCATAGACTTTTATGGGTCTTCCCTTCCTATATTTAAAATTCTTCGAAACTCTCCAACCATATCTTTGCAACTCTGCTTTTATTCTAGCAGATTTTCTATCCATTCTATATGGGGGCATTTTTATAAAAGAGAAAAAAATATTTTTTCTTTACTTAACATAACTGCCTGCTGCCATAAGTCTTTGACGCCAACCCATACCAGCTAATGAAGGTTGACTTGGTTTAGTTTGGAAACTAAACTTTGGTTTTGGTTTATCTTCAGTTTTTGGTTTCTCTTCTTCTATCGGTTTTTCGTCACTTTTCGGTTCAGCTGACTTTACTTCACTTGCAGGAACAGTTGTGTCGTCAACATCTTCATAAATATCATATGCCATTTGTTTTTGTTTTCCTTTCAACTTTTTGTGTTTGTTGTAAAGTTTAGAATATTTCGACTCTAAGTCAATGAGATGTTCTATAATGAACTGTTGGTCAGTGAAGTAAACTTTTCCATCTGTTGTCTCGAAAGCCCCTTCAGACTTCAATATTTTATTTGTGAGAGTCTGTTTCTTTTTTGAGATACTTGCCGTTCCATTTTTATGAAAAGTGACTTTGTAGTTAGGGTTTGTATTTCCAGACCTGGCACTTTCTATTATTGAATTTTTCTCTTCATCTGTAAGTTCTTTGACAGGTTTTGACAATGGTTCTGAACTTTTTGTTTGTGGTGTCAAATCTACCGTTTCAACTTCTTCGGTCATTTCATCTCAGTAAAAAATTTTAGTTTGGTTTGTTTTCAACTGGTTGTTTAGGTTTTTTAAGTCGGTCTAAAACTTCCTGAGGTATAGGAAGAACTTGACAAACACGTTGTGTAACTGCTGGAAGCCGACAAATCCATCTTGAACCCATTTGTCTCAATGCTGTATTGTTCATTTCAATCTCAGTAAAAAAATTTTACATTCCCCAAGTTTGAGGTGGTTGCGGTTGGTTATTGTTTTACCCACTGTTGTGCATGGTTATATCCTCTGTTAAAGAATCTTTCACCTTGGTCCATATAGTGTCCTGCTTGGTTATAGTAGTCATTTGCTTTGTTATAATAGTTTTCCTGCTTGTCTTCCTACATTGTCCATCCATCCTTGAACTTTTCCTCTTGTTTCAGGATTTGGAATAAGATTTGTTGCATCTCGTGCTACATCCCAACCTTTCTGTACAGTTTGTATAATAGGTTGTGCTTTCTCTTTAAGTATACCTAATGTACTCAAAATCTTCCTTCCAACTCAAATACACCTCTGGCTATTGTTCCCACTGCGGGTAAAAATCTAGATGCACTCCTGCTAATGCGCCAAATAAACCCATTTCTTATGGGTTAAAAAATGACGAATCCAAACAAGGACCCCTATGTTCTAAGGCAACAAAAAAAGCACTCATGATAAAAATCTTTAGTTCAACACCAAATGCTTGGTTTATGGATATCTTGGAAAACATTCCGAGAGTTAGAACAGATGGACCACCATACTGGTTAATATTTGTTGGTCAAAACACAAGATACTGTGAAGCCATACCATTACAGTCCAAAAATATTTTGATATCTTAGCAGCTTTGACAATATTCGTTGACAAATACCATCCAACAAAACTGACATCTGACTGTGAAAGTTCTTTCAAATCAGATGATTAAAAAACTATCTGCGTTCAAAAAATGTAAACCAATATTTCATTGTCGACCAAAACCATTCTGCTCTTGGTGTCATTGACGGATGTATAAAATGTTAAGAGACTTAAACCAACCACAAGGTGTGAAGCAAATGAAATGTCATATGACGACAAATATAGACACTTCTCCATGGCAAAGATGAGACAAGTTTTAAATATTTACAATAACCGTAAACAAAAAGGTTTGGGAAACCACTCCCCCGAAGAAATGAAAAACAACCCTGACTTAGAGAAAGACTATATATTTAATAATTTAGTCAAAAGAGACAAACAAGAAAGAATGCCGGGCTTCAAACTTCAGAAAGGTGACAAAGTAAAAATAGAAATACCTAAACGCGACCCATATGAAAATACTATTGACTATGACAACAATGGGAACCCGACAGGTACTCACATTCGTTTCGTAAAAATAGAAGAAAGTATACAAGAGAATATTATGAAGTTTTAGGCAAACATGGCAAAAATGTACAGACTGCAAGCAGAAGATAAAACTACTATTGTCAGACCTCGTTTCAAACTTGTCAAAGTTCAAGGTGGTATACTTTCAAAGACAGTTCCTAACAAATATAAGACACAACTCCTGACGAATATGCTAAAGAAGTGGAACATGACGACTAAGCAATTCTATACCATGCGTAAACTGTCATGTAAGGTGGCATATATTCTTTACTTTTTTGTCCCGTTGTTTGTGTATATCCTGAAACGAAATGTGTATGGTTTCCTTCTCCCTGAGTGTCACTCCAGTAACAATTTATAGCAAACTTAACGTCGTCTTTAACATCATATCCTTTACCTTTTGTCATTCCTGACCAATCCCAATATCTATGCTTATGCCAACCTGCTTGAGATGTACTTAAATCTATGTAGTGACTGTGTGCAGGTAAATTTTCACCTGAAATCGTTTTACTTCCACCTGTTTCCTTTGAAGAGTTTGCACAATACAAAAACCTGTCGACTATTTGTTCCCATGCACCAACACCAAACATTACTTGAGGACCTCTTGCTTCCATAGATGTATAAATAGAACCTACTGGGTTCATTAAATCAAACATATGAGACATTACAGGATTGTCTCTTTTGAACTTAAAATATAGTGCAACTATTTCAGGTTTCTTCTGGTTTGTGTCAGAATATTTTTTATAATATAATCTTATGTTTTCAGGGTAGGTAAAGTCTTGACTATAATATTTATTTCTGTTCATCTGTATAATAGTATACTATTCTCGTTTTTTCTATTGCTTATATCTTTTATATCTATAATAATCTAAATATAATGTTAGCTTTTGTTCATCTACATGTGGTGTTCTGACGTCATCTCCATAGTCATAATAATATGGTGCTGGAGCTGGGTCAGGCAATGTCATATCTGCCATTTCAAAAAACTCTTAAATATTTCTTTTGTTCGTCTCCATATAAGTTTAAGTAGCAGTTGTTGTCTAATGGAACTTTAACTTGTGTACCATCGTTCTTTTTATAGCTTACATACATTTCATTGTTATTTTTCGGAATGAGTTTATACCGTGTACCATTTTCTAAGGACTGTACCAACTGCCATCTAAAATATTTGTTTTCTTCATTGACAGAAAAGTCACCAACAATAGTTTCAATATTTTTTGTTCCAACTAAACTTTGGTATATTTCATTGACATATTTTTATCTGCTTTATTTTCAAGGCTAACGTTTAAGTCTGTTATTTCAGAAGATGTATGTGTATGTCCAACGTCACTTTTCCTGTTTAAGGTTTCTTGTAAGTTTGCAATATTTGCAATGGTATGTGTATGACCAACGTCACTTTTCCTTTTAAGGTTTCTTGTAAGTTTGCAATATTTGCAATGGTATGTGTATGTCCAACGTCACTTTTCCTGTTTAAGGTTTCTTGTAAGTTTGTAATATCAGATATAGAATGTGTATGAGTCTTTTTAGAATATTCGTTTTCAGCTCTTGTCACTTCACTTGACATTTTATTGTCAACATATGTTTTGTCTGCTAGTTCAGGATGAGTATGTTCTTTTGTTGCATAAGCTTTGTTAGCTCTTTCTTCTTCTTTTGCTATTGCATCGTCTACATATTCTTTGTCAGCTTTGTTGCCAACATCTGCTTTCAAAAGAAGTTCTTTTATAGGTTTCTCGTTTAAAGTTCCTTTTGTTGGATTTATACAAACAGTATGGTTCTTATTGTTGAAATAGAAACTCATCTGTCATTGGGTTTAATGTCAGTTTTAAGTTTCCTTCTTTCAATGACTCAGATATCTTAGAATAGTTTGAAAAGTTTGTTTGTGTTCTTATTTAGAGCTTGTATAATGAGTTGTCGGTTGTGTTGTATTTCTCTCATAGACGCTGTTTCATTTGACATTTTTATTCTAGATAAAATATGCTTTCAATAGAAAAAGAAAATTCTAGAGTTGCTACAACTAAACCATTAGATGAACTTTTTACCAATGTCGGTCAAAAGTTTGAGACAGAGACCGTAAAGCATGAAGGCTATCGTTTTGACTACCCGTTAAGATGGTTAAGAGACCCATCCGTCACAAAAGCTATTGGCTTTCGTAGAATGAAGTTCATTTCAGAAGCCATACATGGTTTCCCATTTACAGTCGGTTTTGAAGTTCGATACTATAACAAAGAAAAACGTATGTATGAGAAATTTGAACAGGGAAAACTTTTACAAGTGAATTTGCTTGTAAACTTAGAAACAACTCTTCAAGCTTTTCAAGAAAAAATAAACGATATCTATATCGAATATGCAAACCAGTATAACATTGACGAAGGAGAATACCATCTCGATATTATTTATGACAGGAAAATGCAACTGTTAAAATCAATAGAATAGAAGACCTTGGAGAAAACGTTTATATTTCTACAAAATATAACAACTTGGCATGGTATAGATTTATGAGGATGTTAAATCAGCCTGCAGAATATCCAGTACACCCGGACTTTTATGAAGTCGAAAACCCTAATGGAACATATGAAAATGTTTTCGACCCAGATGCTATTATCGTTCATGCTTCATTTTCTGGTGCACAAAACTCTTTCTTATGCTTGGCAAATGACTTTTACGAAAAACCTACAAAGTTATACGAACCACCAAGTGGAAGTATTTCAGACTTTCAAGTATGGTTTACAACAGATGGAAAAAAAGAATAATTCCATTATACCATGCGTTTTACTTAGAACTTAGTTTCATATACAACTACTATCGAACGGTAAAAATATAATTTTTTAATACGGTTGAGGTGTTGGATTTGGTTGCCAACTTGACTGTGGTGCAGGTTCAGGCTGTTGTATAACAGGAGCTTGTTCTTCTGGTTCAGGGTCTTTAGGTATAATACCAACGAACTGACCTACTCTTTTACCAATATTTTTGACACCGTTCCAAATTCCTCTTCCTACGGTTTTTATTCCATTCCATATACCTCTTCCAACTCTTCTGAAGAAGTTTCCAATACTACTGAAGAAACCCATTTTACTATATGTAAAAATCTAATGTCCACCTAGTCTCTTACGTTTCCTGTTGAGTTCCATAGCATTCTTTAACTGGAGCTCATACATTCTGTTTCTCCTCTGGTAGAAAACATATTCTGGGTCAACTCCTGTGTTCGCGTCATCTGCATAAAGTTGTTTATATCCCACTTCAGGGTTTGTATAAACTCTTTCCATCTCATATTTGCATACCATGGTGGCAAACCTAACGCAGCGTCATTTGACATGGCAGTTTGCATTTGTACATCTGTTGGCACTTGACCATAGTTTGCCATTGCAGTTTGTATTCTAACTTCATTTGGAATATTCTCTGGGTTTGGTTGTCCAGGTTGCTGTGCATTCGCTAAGTTCTGTGCGTCCATTTAATATTAGATAAAAATATCTCTTACGAGTACATATGCTGAACATTTGCAGGCATTGGTTCATCTTCATATTCTCTGTACTTTTCTGCCACGTCAAATAAATAAATGACACAATGGAAAAAACCTAAAACAAGTAGTCCTATTTCAAACCACATTTACTTACTAGTAAAATTTCTTTGTTATGACACTTTCTCCAGTTTATAGGACCTCTCTCATATTCTATCTTGTCATATCTAAACTCATAGGCATGTATGTCCTCTAACCATCTCATAACGGTTTCCAAACCACTTTTATCGGATGTAAAGTAAAAGCATGGATGGTTATGTAAAACGTCTAAAGTTTCTAAAGAGTCTCTCAAAGTCCAGTCTACTTGGTATTGAAAATCCCATGTGTTATAGAACGGCGGGTCCACTATAAAGAAAACATTTTCCTTGTCTTTATATTTTTCATACAACTCTGTCCAATAACATCTCACAAACTCTATACCCTCAATATATTTTTCTATGTCCTCTTTGAAAACATTTGTATAGTTAAGATATAAAACTTTTGACATAAGTGTTTCAATGTCATGAACTCTTATAGAACCACTATATAATAGTCTAGCAGATATACTATCCCAGTCTATATATTCTGCTTTTTTCAAAACCTCTCTCACAATATTTTTGTTATCTAATGGTATACGTTCCATCTTACCTATAGGTATCTTTTCTTTTAACTTTTTCAATATATTGTTTGTGTCTGGTATATGTTTGAGACGGTCCATATAGTTGTCGAAGTCATTGCATATAATCTTTGAGTCTGGGAATATTGTATGGCACAAATGGGATATATAGAAACTTCCACCGAACAAATCTACAAATGTTAGACCATTCGGTAGTTTCTTAAGTTCTCTCAATAGAATATCTTTACATTTACTCTTATTTCCAAAGAACGGTAACGGTGGTTTTGTAAAATTCATTTATATATAATAATAAAAATGTTTTTTCCTGAAAAGTGACAGAAAAGTGACAAAACATGAAAACATATATAATTTGTGAAAAGCTCCTGGAAGACCCGTATATAAGAACTTCATTTATACTAAACATCTTCAGGGCTAGAAGGGGCGCAGCCCCTGGAAGCCCCACTACCTTTTTTTTTACATATTAGAAGATATACTTCATTATGGATGTATTCTACTGAAAAATGCTATTAAAAGTTATACACATCAAAATTTCTATGATCGATTATTTCAATTTTTTTTAGAGAAAGATCTAACTGACTCAAGCATCATATGATTCAACAACAAATACTCTTACTGTTAATGGCAATGGGACAATTGGTTCAGATGCATTTGTAGAGTATGAAAGCTCTACTGTTCACTTAATTATAGGAGAAGGAATTACTAAACTAGATGGAAATGCATTTTATAGATTCGCATCATTAAAAGATGTTTCTTTCCCAGATTCTTTGGTTTCTATTGGAAATGATGTTTTTTCCAAATCAAAAATTATTAATTTAACCCTCTCTTCAAATATTAAGGATTTAGCTATAGCAAACTCCTTCGATAGCATAAAATCTCTTGAAAATGTGTTTGTTGCTGAAGATAATCCTTATTATATTTCCATTGATTGTATATTATATACAAAAAATATGACTACTCTATACATAATTCCAAGAAACAAAAGTGTTTCTTATTATTCCGTTCCTTTTGGAGTTAGAAAAATATTAGCTGGTGCTATTCAAAATTCTTATATATCTACATTGGTGATTTCAGAAACTGTTAGAGATATTGGGGGATATTTTGGGCGTTTCTCTCAAATCCAGCATATTGTTATCAAGCAAACAACTGGCCACTTAAATATTGATAAAACTGATTATTTCTTCGATTCTAAGTTTACACCTATTTTTGAATATATGAGTGTGGCAATACCAACATGCGTTCATTGGGAAATTTCAAATTTCTTTTGTTATCTTTTTAATTTCATTGTTTTGAGTTAAATGCTAGTTTTTATACGTACACGCCTTTCACACACTAACTTATAAACTCATATGAATCATAATATAATCTTTTGATGAGTTGATATCTATATTCAAGGAGTTCTCTTTCGCCTTCCTGATATTAAATATCTATCAAACTTAAACACCGTTAGATAGATTGTTATATATAAATTAATAATCTATTTTGATTTTTATTAAGGAGTATAAATATATAGTAATTTTTTGATAAGTAGATAGGTTTCGAGTTCTTCTTGCTCAAATATAATGTTTTCAAGATTGAAAATTTAATTTTCAGTTAAAAACTCAAAATGAATTATATTGTGAAATATTATAATAACAATTTGAAATTAACAAAAGTTTAGAACACAAATACAAACAAAAATAAAAAATTAATTCATTTTGACACCATATATATGAGGTGATGAGACATCCTTTTTATATTGATCGTTATTATCATCACCTTGACCAGGTTCTAGTATGATTTGACCTAAAGGAAGATCTTGTGGCTGATTTGTTGTCATTCGAAGTCTTACTGAAGGATTTTCATGAATAAATGTATATACTGCTGATGTTGGAGGTATTGTACGTATTGTCCAGTTTCTTGAATCTTTTCTATCGACTAAAGGCTGAAGCAACTCTGATTTTGTTGTTTTGTCATGGTTCGATAGCTCCCATCCAAGATGCTTCATAGAGTTATTGATTCTTGAACGACATGTTGAAAGAAAAGTTTTTAAATAATTTGCATTTATGGCAATTTCATCGCCAATTATGATTATTCCAACTGTATGTAGTGTTTGAATAGGATTGTCAACAGAGCCGAGGATTAGTTTTAATAACAGAAGAACTTCCAAATCTATTGGAGAACCTTCCGGATTATGACCTCTTGTATGGCGGAGGGCAGCGAAGTATTGCTTCATACTTTGCATGAGAGTATATTCTTGAACAAAATTTGGCATCTCTGTGATAACTTTTGCAAGTTGCTGTTCATCTTCCATTTCGAAATGCGAACAGAGTCCTCAATTTCTCACTTTTTGGCGGAAAATTTTACAAAATTTATTATATCCTTAAATGAATTTTCGCATGGGTATTTATTTTAAACATAGAATTTGCATGCAATTCCAATCAAATTCCTCGTTTTTAATTTTTTTTGAGAATGTCAAAAATTATAATTCAACGTTTTCCAGTGCTACTTATATAATACTTTCTATTCAATTTTGAGGGAAACTTGAAAAAACATTTTCCTAATTTTGAATAGTTTACAAGTAATAAAAAATTTAAAAAATTAATAAAATTAAGTGTTTAGTTAAATGCAAGGTGTTATTCTCCTTGGATATGAGTAGCAAAAGGTGCTACTCTCCATGTATTCTAAAAATGAAATAATTTTGGTAGCTTTGTATGAAGATGAATATTGATTGTTAACTGGAGTCTCAAATGATGCATTGGAGACTTTTAACAATGGCTCCTAATTCATTTTTGTAGTCCTGGAGACAAATTGCTGGGAAATTTCCAAGGTACCCGCAGCATTTTAGTTTCGCTCCATTTTGAAGTTTTTGAATCAAACCTCTTTACGGTTAACTGAATTATTTCTAAACATTTTGCAAATAATCTAAACACTTAATTTTAATAATTTTTTAAATTTTTTTATTTGTAAACTATACAAAATTACGGAAAAAATATTTTTCAAGAAATCACACAACATTGAATTAAAGTAATTTCAGCATTTATCAGTGATGATAATAATTGTTATTGACAGTGGCTTATAATTATCTATTGATTCAAGCAATATACCATGAATATAGTAAAAAAATAAAAATTTATGTTATTTTATAAAACAAATATTTATACAAACAAATATATATTATTTTTCTGATAATTGGACATTCACTATTCCCTTTGGATATAGTTTCAAAGAGCTCAGAGTTGCATTATCATCATAAGGAGCGTTTTTGAAGGGATCCATAACTTCAAAGTTTTTCAGATTGAATGTGCTTACAATGAATTTCCGAACTTCATGCATTGTCATATTCGGTTTTGATTTCAAAATTTCTCTTCCAGAAGGAAGTCTGAGATGAAGCTTTCCATCGCCAACACCATATTCTCCATCTGGATTAAGTACATATTGTGGATCTTTCTTTTCTTCATTCTTTGGTTGTGGTGTTGCTATTGTTCTGGCTTTTCCTTTGAATTGATTTATTGTGCGCTTATCTACAATATTCATAACAAATCCGTCTGGATATATATCTTTGAATTCTTCTGGATAATATCCATCATAAATATCTCTGAAAAATTGTGTACTTAATGTTTCATCGTAAGGTCTTTCTTCGCCATTATTAACAGTAAAATGCTCATTATATAGAGTGATAAGAACTGGCTTATCACTTTGCATTTTTGAAATATTTTTATCTTGTTTAATTTTAGGTTTAACAGCTTCTGCATCCTCATTTAGCTTCTTTACTCTAATCATGAATAGTTCCATATCATCAAGTCCGTGCTCAAAGTTCCTTTCTTTTGGTCCTGGACCTCCAACCCAATGTAAATCATATTCTTCGAGGAATTGTTTCATTTCATTAATCCTTTTTTGTATTGCAGCGTTTTTCTCTCGCTGTTCACATATCTGATTTTGAAGATTTGTGATTTCTTCTGATTGTTTATGAACAAATTTTTCCAATTTTGCACAATGAGCAGCAGAATCCTCTTTTGGAGGATGTGCAGCTGGTTTTGGATGTATTAATGGTATTGTTGGATGTATTTTAGGATGCATTTTTTTGAGTTCGTTATAAATTCCGTAGATATTGAAAAAAAATTGAGATTATTCAAAAATTTACACGGAATAATTTTTATATAAAAAAATTTATGATTGGATACATTATTATAGCTTACATATTGTTTATTGCATTTGCCACATTCGTAATGATATATGGTAACAACAGCTGTGTTAGAAATACATTTATTGGCTCAATTTACAGATTTTTCGCAAATACACTTCCGAATTGGTTCATTGCAAAATATAAAAAGATATTTAATATACCAGATTCACCGGACCATAATGATACATGCATGGGTAAGAACGGTCCTTGCAGATATTTCATTCTAATAAGTTTCGCATTACTTTATGCAGGTTTAGTTGCTGATTATTGGTTTTGCACATATCCATATATTCATATTTTCTACAAAAATCTGTTCCTTCATAAGATTTTAAGCGTTGTTTTACCTGCAATTCCTTGGATAATTATAATTGCTCTTCAATTTTTAGATCCTGGCGTTATCACTTCCAAAAATGTTATCGGATATATGAAGAAATACCCATTCGACTTCATTCTTTACAATCACAAAGTTTGCAGAACACTTCACATCCCAGCCGTTGCAAGATCTCGCTACTGCAACTATACACAGCGTCGAATTGCCAAATACGATCACTATTGCCCATGGGTAGTTGCTTCAATTGGCGAAAGAACCCATAGATGGTTCTTATTATTTTTGGTTGGCTGCGTTGTGGCATCAGCATATTATTTGTATGCTGATTTGTATGTTACCTTCTTGATCATGTATGCTTATTATCAAAAAATTAAATGGACCAATAGTTTTAAGGTCAATGCACAGATTTTTGCTGTTGTTCTCATAAAAGAACAGAAGTTCAACGCGTTCTGTGAATTTTTGTTCTTTTTCATAATTATTTTCCTCGTAATTTTCATCGGACAACAAATTTACTTCATTTCCACAGGAAGGACAACAATTGAACTTGACAAGTGGGGTGATTATTATTACAAGCATCGGAATGATAAATCTAAGAAACCAGTTAAAAATATGTATGATTATGGCTTTATACATAATTGGAAAGAATTTCTCTTCCCAGAACCTGTTCCTGAATGCGAAGAATGGGTTCCAGATAAATATTGGAAGAAGATTATTGAAAATGAAGAAAAACGTCGAAAAGAATTGAACTCAAAACCGAAAAATGAGTAATATTTCAGGAAATATAAATATATAATATGTTTGCATACATCAATTCTTTAAAAACTTAATTTTTATTTTAATTTTACTTTTATTTAGATCTAGTTCTCTTCTGAACTTCAAAATGACGCCTTTGCATTCTATGAAGTAGTTCAAATTTAACATTCTGAGAATGAACTCGATCATTAAGCATAAATTCAATGTAGCATTATTCATGATAATACTTTCAATCAGCTTTGGCAGGTGTTCATTGAAATAACTATTGCATCGTGATTTAAAATCAGTATTGATTAGAAAATTTATAATTGAAACTTAACAAATTGCAGATATCATTAAAAACACTTAATTCACTCATATTTATGGCTGGCGAATGCATATCAACATTAAACCAAAATTAATGAGATAATATTTCAAGAACAGTTCTTTTTGAGAAAAACGAAAATAAATCTTTAAATGGACATTTATTTAAATCGAAGCAAGATAAAACATGATTGCTACATAAAAAATATTATTAATTTTAAAATAAAAATTGGAAATGATTTATTTCAATGAGTTCTTTATAAAATAATCCAGTTGGTAGATTGGTATTTTATTTACTGCTCCTGAGCAACATGCTTACGAGCTTGGTTGAGGATTTCGATGTTTAATTCCTGAGCTTTCTTGATGATTTCTTGCTGAAGCTTAGCACTAACCTGAGCAGAGATCATTGCTCCATGTGTTGTATTCTTTGTAAGTAACATGTCGAGATCTTTGAGTGAGCGAACGATAACTGGGATGAAGCCGTTTGGAAGCATGAATCTTGTTTCCTTATCAGAGCCAAAACCAGCACTTGGGTGGAGTGGTGTGCCACGATACTTCCTGCGGAAACGAGAATCGATACCACGTGGATGGCGCCAAGCGGAAGGAACACGCTTCCAGAGATCGGACTGTGGGCGGTGGAATCTGTTTGTCTTCTTGTGGATGATTGGCTTGTGTTCAGCTGGATTTACCATTCAAAAGGCAGACCAAAACCGCTTCCATGACGATAATAATTTTTCAAAATTAACAATCCTCCAAAATTATTTCTAATGATTACATATCCTTCAGAATATATAAATTTCATTTCATTTTCATAAAAACGCTTTTTAAAAATTTTGATCTCAAAACAAAAATGGAGTAAAAACACCATACACTTAAATCCTTTCTTCATTACTAAGGATTAATCATAATTCTTATTGATACATTCATTTTGATACAATATATGAATTTTTCACTTATCAATCCTATATTTACTGCTTAAATGAAGTGTATGTAGTTTAATACATTTTGTTTCGATAATAGCAGCTAATGAAGGTATTTTCATTGCATTATGTCCTCTTCTTCAATGCAATCAAAAGATCTTTCGATGAATATACATGTTTAACTTAGAACTTTGTAAGGAGCCAATGTGTAGGCTTACTATGTGTTGCTTTGACTAATGGTTGAAGGAAAACTAAAGAAATGTGTATTTTGATATATAAAAAATTTTTTAAAGCATTAGTTTCCCTTTCAAAGATACTTGACTTTCAAAATAATTTTCATTATGATATAAATTTTAATACTTTATTAAATTGATTATCGGCGTGCAGCACCAATATAGGAGGAACGAAATTTGAATTGAAAAAACGGTTTTACTAGGCCTTTCTATCTGATGTCCACTGTTCAGACAGAGCGCGCTTTCCAGAAGCAGCCACAACTCTTCCTTGCCTCCAAGAAGCATGCCAATGCTGAGAAGAAGCAGCGTTACGTTAAATCCATCGGTCTCAAGATCGAAACACCAAAGACAGCTGAAGAGCGCGAATACATCGATGCTAAGTGCCCATTCACAGGCACAGTCTCCATCCGTGGCCGTGTCCTTCGTGGTGTCGTCGTTTCTACAAAGATGCGCCGTACAATCATCATCCGCCGCGATTACCTTCAGTGGATCCGTAAGTACAAGCGTTTCGAGAAGCGCCACACAAAGATCCCAGCACACATCTCACCAGCATTCCTCGTCAAGGAAGGCGATCTTGTTACAGTCGCTGAATGCCGCCCACTCTCCAAGACAGTCCACTTCAACGTTATCCACGTTAAGCCAGCTGCTGTCGGTGCTGACAAGAGACAATTCCGTGTCTTCTAAAACTATTACTTAATTCTTTTAGAGAAGAATTAATTTTAATTCTTTTTTTTATTATTATTTCAAGTATACATGGCCCAATGAAGGTAAATTGTATGGCTCAATTGAATGATTTTACAATTGCTATGACAGCAAAGAGAAATTCTATATATGAAATGCTCAACTATGATAGCTATGTTTGGTATCTTTATTTCTTGTTTTTTGTAAAAATTATTTTGATATAATTTGAAGAACAAAACTTTTTAATTGTTAACATGGTAATTACCTCTCTGACAAAATAGATGCATCTTCAAAATGTAAACATTGAATGAATGGAGCCATATGTGATTTTATTTCTGATATATATGTCTGATCTCTCAAAATTTGAGTCAATTGAAAGATTTACGTGCGAAGAATATGATTTCAAGCTGAATCTGTCTCCTTAAAACCGGACCTACTTAGACATTAAATTCGAAAATTTGATGATATTGTATTTCTCAATTTCTATTTTTTATCAATAAAATAAAAATTATCAAACGTACAATTATTTTTGATTCAAACGCTGTTCGGCATTAGAATCAAAAATAATCTTTAGTATGATAATTACACTTTTATTGCATTTTTAACAGGCTTCACGCCTGTATACAATTGAAATAGACCTACCTTTATAAATAGCAGTGAATTTATAAATATATGGCAAATTAGCTGATGATTTTGAAAAAATAACATGATACATATAAGAAATGAAAAATATTGATTTGTTTCAGTTCCATCTTAATGATTAAATAAAATATGGTATGTTAAATCATTCATAACCCGAAAATTTGACAATAGCATTCTCAAATTTGAGAACTTTACAAGCCGCAAAATCCCCACAAATGTAAACAGTTTACGAATGTAAAGTTTATTTTTAGAAATTGACAAAATTCACAGGCGTTCCCTCCCGCAGCAAAATTGAGCGAAAATACGGTTTAGGAGCGAATTTTTTTAACTATAACATAGTTTCAATTTTTCTGTATCGGACGCAAAGGATATGATTTCAAGCTTACCTTATGATAATATCGAATCAAATTATGACTAGGATATCTGATATTTTCTTAACTATCTTTACGCAATCTCACTTCGGATTAAATGCTGGATGGATGTAACAATTCTAGATTTTTTTTAATCAATACTGTCACAAAAAATTTTACAAAGCATGTCAAGTTCTGATTTTAGTGACATTAAGCCAATTGAAATATTTAAATACCATAGTCAAACATCAAAAATTATTTGGGGTGTCAATTCCAATAATATTTTACAAGTATCTTCGCAAATTATAGAATTTATTACAAATAACAAAATTCCTATACAAATGTCACTTTATTTGATTGATATTTTTCCCCAAATGCGTGACAAAAGATATTAAATTATTTACAGAACTTTATCAAAAGATATCAAACGAATTTTCATGCATCAGTAAACCGAAAAATGAGAAATTGACGACGCTTCTGCATTATAAAGGTTTCAAATTCGAAAATTTCGAACCTAAAATGACAGAAGAAGAAATCCTCAATTTGTATTCAACAGAATCTCCTTTATACTATATTGCATGGGATAAAGTTGATGAACTTGAATCTAAATTCTCAAACCTTGATATTGATCAGAAAATTAATGAAATCACACCACTTGATTGTGCAATTAAATATGGATCAGAATTGTGTTTCAATTACTTGAAAATTTTAGGTGCTAAATACACTTTTGAATCGGGAAAATATGCTGTTCAAGCCGGAAATAAGAACATTTTTATGCAAATGATAGCAGAAGGTAATTCATTTAATAACATGATTAGTACAGCATTGGATTATCATAACTATGAAATTGCTGAGTACTTTAAATCAAATTTTGGACAAACTAATTATTCAATAGCAGAAAGTATGCATTTCGGAAATTATGAAGTTGCATCTTATTTACTTACTCATGGAGGAATTATCAACATACGCTATAATCCTTTTCTTTTCATGTTTATCATTGATTTATGAAATTATCATTCTTTTCATATTTTTCATTGTTTTTTGAAATTCTCTCAATATTAATGAATGTCCTCTCAGTATTGCAATCAAAATGAATGCAACAGATATTGTCAAATTCTTAGTTGAACATGGTTCTGATGTTAACACAAAACTTGTTCTCTTTCTTTTCATATTTTTCATTGTTTTATGGAATTCTCTTTCTTTTCATATTTTTTATTGTTTTATGCTATTCTCATTCTTTTCATAATTATCATTGTTTTATGAAATTATCTTTCTTTTCATAATTATCATTGTTTTATCGAATTATATTTCTTTTAATGTTTATCATTGTGTTTTTGTATTCTTTTTTCTTTCATATATATCATTGGTTAAAACAATTATTATTCTTTTCATATTTATCATTGTTTTATATAATTCTCTCTAGATTAATGAATGCCCTCTCAGTATTGCAATAAAAACAAATTCAACTGAAATCGTCAAATTCTTAGTTGAACATGGTTCTGATGTTAATATGAATCTTACCCTCTTTCTTTTCATATTTATTCTTGTTTAATGGAATTATCTTTGTCTTCATATTTTTCATTGTTTTTTGGTATTCTCTGAATATTAATGAATGTCCTCTCGGTATTGCAATCAAAATGAATTCAACAGATATTGTCAAATTCTTAGTCGAACATGGTTCTGATGTTAACATGAAACTAGTTCTCTTTCTTCTCATATTTATCAATGTTTTTTACAGTTCTATTTCTTTTTATGTTTATAATTGTTTTATAAAATTCTCTGTCTTATCATATTTATCATTGTTTTATTACATTCTCTTTCTTTTCATATTAAATATTGTTTTATTACATTCTGTCTCTTTTCATATTTACCATTGTTTTATTACA